GGCAGCGTTAAGAAAGAATTTATGTTCCCTCAGTGTAGAGCTCCCATGTGTTCACTTATTTCTAGTCATAATCTAACCTTTCTAACCTAATTTCATTGGATATTAGGGAAAATTTCTTCACTCAAAGGGTTGTCCAGCCCTATCACAGGCTTCCCGGGGAAGTGGTGGAATCACCATCCCTGCAGGGATCTAAAGCCTTGTGGGTGTTGCACTTGGGGACATGAGTTAGTGGCGGCTTTGGCAGTGCTGGGGAAGGGTTTGACTCCGTGATCTTAGAGGGCTTTTTTCGACCTAAATGACTCTACGATTCTGTAATCACAGTACTTCATGAGAGTACTGTGTTAGTCTCTCATTTCTGACCTTGTTTTCAGTGTTCGGAATGCTTTGCAGGGCTCATTCCTGCGCAGTGTAGTGACTTTTTCTGTCCCACTATCCCACAGAGACTGTTCCTAGTGATCATGTTTTGGGCAGTTTTATTCCATGTGCTTTAACGCAGTTTTTACCAGCTTCCCAAACATACATTTAACATCTCTTGGATCATTGGTGTGTCCGTACCCAACAGGTCATGTGAATAAAAAGATAAAATTTTATCACATGGGGATAAGGAAGTGCCCAGAGAACTGAGGCAGATTAAAAGGGAATTTGTTTTCTAAACCACAGTGGACGTTTAAAGAAGAGACAAAGGAATTTTTCTCCCCTTTTCCCACCCATGCCTGGACTGATGTAGTAGGAGTTATTCTTCAGGAATTCAGAGGTTGCAGCAGTTCACACTTGTCACATATATCAGCTATTTTCTGTCATTTCACATGATTCCTTGGTTTTTTGTTTCTCTTCTCTGGCAGGTTTCTTCATGGCTGAAGAAGATATATGGGGATCACTTTATTCCATCAGACGAGGTGAATGAAAAGACAGTGGATATCTTGCATGATCTTATGGAATGTTGTGAAGCCAAAGAGAGGGATGTTTCTTTGCTGATAGAGGACATGAAGCATCAGGAAGCAGTGCATGAAGCAGCAAGTGAGTTTGAAACTCCATTTCTCAGTTCTGTCCAGGTTAGGATTTTCTTAGGGATCCTGAAGATTGTATTGTATTTTTTAGAATCTGAGAAAAAAAAATATATGTAGTTGAAACAAACTCAGCTTTTGTTCTGATACAGAACAAAATGCATCCTTTCAGCAAAATTTACTTAGTGACATAAGGTTGGTCAAGAGATTAGTTGCTAAAACCTCTTAACCTGCTGGGCTGGATAGCACAGCATGGAAATACTGTCTGGATAGACAGGGAAGCAACCCTGCAGCTGGTGCTAAGCCACTGTTAAGGAGAACACTGGAGGAATCTAAAAGAATAGTGAGGTGATTAAGTTACACTCAAGCAGTCTAGACTGAGTATTTGATAACATCTTGGTTTTTTGGAGAAAGGGAGTGGTTCAGGGAACCATAATACATTTTTAACTCCGTTACTAAAGGATTGTCCCTTCACTGGCTTTTTTCAGGAAGGAATTTTAATTCTTTGTGAGAAGATTCTACACACGAAGACGTTTTTGTAAAAAAAAACCAAAAAACATTTGGTTTTGTTACTTCAAGTCCTCTAGTGCCTTGCTATCAAACAAACAATGATGGAGACAGACCTCCTGGGTCTGTCTGTGACAAGCATGTGCATGCTTAGGAACAGGCTTAAACTGAGCTCTGTGGGGAGAAGACCTACGTGTGGTCACTGCTGTAACACAAGGGTGGACTCCTGTTTGTCTGAGTTCAGACTGGTCAGGGAAGGAGTGGAGCAGTGCTTTCTCCCTTAATACACTGAATTTATTTGACAAACGGGGACGTGGCAACAGTTTGGCATGTTTAAGCCTTCTTTTAAAGTGTCTCTTTCCCTGACAACAGAGAGGTAGGCAAGTTTCTGATGTGGGATTGGGTTCTAGCTTTGGAGAGTTCTTTAAAAGAACACAAATATTAAAAAATTATCTAATTTTGGGTTGTATTTGTGTTCCAGCTAAGGAAATGCAGGACATTTTCGAAGACCTGGGTCTTTCCCCAACCAGTCTGTCCAGAAAAGCCTCCAGGGACCTCTCTAGTCTGGCAAAAAGTGCAGTGATACTCCAAACAAAAGACACGTCTCTTACCAGGTAATTCTTCACACTCTGCATCTGAGGTGATGGTCTGTGCTCTTTCCCTCTGTTTTCTCACAACAGCAGATTTAAACTTCACTTTGACCCCAGGAATCTTATTTTCCAGCTTATTTTGCACCACTGGGCAGCTTTGGAGCACACAGGAACTGAGCACAAAGTTAGGTTAGCCCAGCAAAGGAAGGCTCTGAAGCCTGAGAAGGGTCTCAGACAGAGTTAAATCCCTCTTTTTTGCTCGTGTTTTTGTGGCCAGTGGCTTCAGGGTGCTGCCACTTGGACTGTTGTGCCAGGTAGCCCAAGCTAGAGCAGCATTCACACTGCTTAGGCAAGGACTGGGGAACTGTGACTGGTCTTCCAGTCTCATCTCCTCATTCTTCTCTCTCATCTGGCCTTGGTTCATGTGAGGAGACTCCCTCAGCCACAGAGAAATGACATCTGGTTAGTCTGGTCTTCCTGGGTCCCTCTCCCTAGCCTGGCTCTGGCCCCTGACACAGCACCACTGCAGTAAGGAAAGGCCAAAATCTGCCTTGGAATCCAATTCTTCTGTCATGTTCAGGATCTTGGCTCTTAGAGCTCTTCTCCTGAGCTGGAGGGAAAAGCAGCTTTGAACCATTTAGGGAGAGGCTCAGATGCTGCTGGGCACATCTCAGGGCTGTGTGTTTTCAGGGACTGAATACAGTTTCTCTCAAAGGCGATTTGGCAAGGCAGGAGTGGAGTCTGGGGGTGGTTTCAAACCCAGTGGTTTTATTCACCGGGGTGCCAGGTGTTTTTCACTTACTCCTACTCAGATTGCTGCCCCATTTTTCCTTCCATTTGGAATCTGTGTTAGTTAAAGAAAGCAAATTACCCCAGTGACTTACTTTAATTTCCTCCTAAGATAATATCACGAGAAAACTAAGTCATTTGTGTAAAGTGCGGAGAAAAGAATAACAATAGTTCTGAGCATTCCCACTGTTTCTCTCTTCACCAGCCTCTTCTGTGCCATCAATAATATGACTTCGGAGCAGTTTGAAACAACGCAAAAAAACAGAGAAATGCAGCAGAAATTGGATGACGTCAAGAATAAACTGACTTCAGCCCTGATGTTGAGCAAGCAGTTACTGGAGTGAGTAGTGGATGAGGAAAAGGGAAAGGTGCAAGCAGTACTGCTGATCTCTGCCGTGGGCAACACTGGTTGTGGTAACTGACAAGGATAACTAAATTTCCAGGGGTTTGACACATGTCCAATTCAAAGTAGTTGGAGGTATCTATGAAAAGCCATGTACCATGGACACATTCGGTGATCAGAAGAGATTTGGGATACCATCAGACCCATTATTTTAACACATAAATGGTCTATAAGCAGTTTTCAGATATGAGCTTGCATCTTCCACCAGTTGCCTTTTTCTGAGGCTGAGGGCAAACCTGATTCTCCTAGCACATTTAGCATGGGGTCTGTAGCCAGAGTGAAGGAGCCAGGCAAAACAAAAACCATTCCCAGGTAAGAATTTCCCTTAACCAGTGTGTGAGACACTTCATAATTATATATATATAAAAAATTCAGTATCAAGTCCATTCCCTGGAGGATGTAAAATGAAGTGCTTTGCCAAGCACAGCAGGATCAGCCCCAGCCGTGAGTGGGCATTGGCCCAGATGATCTCCACAGCTCTCTTCCAGTCTAATTATTTTGGTTTTGTTTTTTTTTGTGTGTGTTTTAAAGTGGTAACTGTGGTGCTGCTTGTAGCAGAGATACCAAACCTGTATGCTTTGTGCAGGTTTGCTGTGGTCCCCCTCTGTGATCTGAAGTTTAGCTCGTATAACACATCTCTAACTCAGTTAGGGAATTGTGCACAAGACTATTACCCTTTGCTTTTAGGCAGATGGCTTTCCCTTAGCCATTATTTTCACTGGCCTTTGGGATTCTGGAGGTGACAGCTGTACATGTTTCCAGTGGGAAATCTCACAGGGAAGTACAAGTTTTTCTCTGTGTTCTCCATTCTTGTGTTGGTTGTATTAAGGGGTTTAGCTTGAGCATAGATAAGTAGCAGTATTGGTATGCTGGTATCTCTTTGAATGTAAAAGTTTTTTTCTTTTTGTATTATTTTTAAGGCATATTGAGAATACAGAGGAACTTCAGAAAAAACAATCTGTCAAAGTAGAGAGACAACTTAAGACCATGACGTACCTGACAGATAAATGTTTGGAATTAGAAATCAGGATCAAGGATGCTCAGGTAGGTGGAAAGGATTTTGTGACAAGGCATTGTGATGGGATGACACAGCCATGGTTGATCAGGCCCAAAGTTGTAGTTACAGAGATATTCCAGGAGCCTCCTAGGCTCGGACCAAGGACTCTTGGGCTGACAGAACAATATGTTACTGCAGTTCAGTTGTTCCTGCTGGTCTCTCAGCACATCCTATAAACAATACAAGCCTTTCTCCTCTTTTCCTGAGAACTGTGTTAGCTGGGATTACCTTGTGGTTATTGTGAGGTACTGTCATATAAGAGAATACAGGCAGCTACCAGTAGAGCAGCTGATTCCATGAGCTTAAGTTGCGCCTCAGAATTCTGAATATAGCCAGTTTTTGAAATTAATGGATGATTAAATGCAGAAAGCAAATGCTGCATTGCCTGCTCCTTCACCTTTCCTAAATGATGAAGGACATGTGAATGCTTTGTTTAACACTTAGATACTGTCTGATAACTTGACAAATATGAGATGGAAAGTGTTGTATTACAGTTGGTGCATTTTACTAAAAAGCCTCTTTCAAGCCTGGCCAAGTGCTCTTCTCCCTCTAGTTTTCTGGAAAGACTTGTTATTGATAGAAATTTTAGCAGCAACTGCTTTCATACAGCAGCTCTGGCTGTGGCTCAAATTGCACATTTCTGTTGCTTTCTTCTTTGCCTGTTTAGATAAAAATAAGAGGCAACGGTGAAATCTTTCTCTTCCTTGTTACGTTTTGTCCTCAGTTACAAATGAACTCTCTCCTGTTTGCAGAGGGAGCTTGCTGCCCGTGGGCTCCACACATCCCTGACACACAAGGCACTGGTGCAATTATCTGAGGTAAGTCTTTGGTTACAGGATGGCTGTTTCTAGAGTGGTACAGACTAGGCTTGCTTGTTCTTCCTTTTCAGGAAATGCAGTTTGCTGTTTGGTTATCTGAACAAATGTTCACGGTCGAAAAAGCACAAATAAAAATCCTGTAGATGGATACCCATGAACTGGGGTCTGTTGAATGGGTTTCTCTCTCCTAGGAAATCCTAGAAGCATCTATTGGAGAATTTTCATGGAATAAGTTTCCTGCCACTGAAAGCAAATTGGCAGCCTGTGCTCTACCTCCTTTACTTGATCCATGTTGTAAACAGGGTGGATATTCTGTGGACTGTATCCCATTACGTGGCTACCTGTGTATTGCAGTTTCTTGACAGAATGACCCACGATTCCTCCTACTTCATGTGAAATAAACCTACTTTCAGGCACTTCCAAGCAAGAGGACAAGGTCAAGTGAAACCCAAATTCCCAACAACTGTGTGCTATTTTTTTCTTGTGTCCTTAAACATTACATTTTTCAGCTGTTTTGTAAGCCCAGTGGGATATGTATTAAAGAAAAAAGCACGTTTCTTGAGTTTGTACCTAAAGATTCTCTAGCTTTGGGCTGAAACGTTTGTACATGTGACATTTGTGTTTGTCTGTCTGCACTCACCACATCTTAATATGTTTTGCTGTCATTGTAGTGAGAACTTGGTCTTTCTCCTGATTTCTTTTGCTGTCTTTTCCTGCATGTTTCTGAGCGGAACAGTGAAAGCAGGTTTCCTGATTTCCCTGCTGTCGTTCTCATGAACCAGCACTGGGTGGCAATGCTTACATTGCACAGCGTTTTAGGAGAGTACTGACCACAACTAAACTTTGTTGAAATTTTACAACTGAAAAGCCACAGGCAATTTCCTGGGCTTGTTGTCTTCTAGAAACCTAGCATAAGGTAAGGTTTGACTCCCTGACATTTCTAGATCTGCTTTGTCAAGAGCTCTATGAAATGGGCAGCACAAATGACTTCATCTTTTTTTTTTTTTTTGTAACCTTGATTATTTGAAAAGAGTTGAGGACTGTGGAAGGTTCTCAGTTTGCAGCCTCAAAGAGAAATTATTTCCCCTTGTTACCAAAATAAGCAAAGCAGTACAAGTGTAAGGGAGGGTCTTTTTGCTGTTGCAAAACTTTAGTTTTTCATGTGTGTTGAGGAGGATGAAAGCTCTTGACAACGTCTGTGAATTCTGAAATGCTCTGGGTAATTGTGGATCTATTTCACTGATTTAATCACTTCTTTAAGACTCTAGAGTATAATCTGCCTGGCTCTCTTCACAGGAACTGGTTTCACTGGAGAAAAAAGTTGCATCTCTGAAGAAGGAACAGAAGATCTACTTGGAATTACCTTTCGTAATTATTCATTCTACTGTTCTATTGTATTTGCAAATCAGATTAATTTTAACGAACTTCAGAATTTAAAGGATATTGTGATGCTTTGGTGGACAGGTGGATGACCTACAGGTCTGTTAATGATATTAACCAAAGACTTAACTTAAACAAAAGACTATTTATTAATAAAAGCCAAGAAATTAAGTATGCTTGCCAGGCAAGCTTTGTTCTAACAAAGTGGACAGATTTGCCAGGTGAATTAGTGTCGAGGTGAATTAGCTAGAAATTGGACAAAGAAATATGTGAAGAAAATGTAATATATATGCCAGTATATTAACTATACGTGTCATCAGGCTGTCAGTATGGTGGACACAGCACGTGGTGCAGAGGTTAGAGCTCTAAACAAGATTTTAAGGGTGATGAAGAAAGAGCCAAATATAGGCCTTGTCCCCTAAAATGGCTGCTCCATCATTTTCTTTGATTTCTCTTTAGGATGCTGGGTACTCAGCTCTCTGGAAACAGTTTTCCCATCTCTCTCACACAACCATTGCTGTCTTGCTCCTAGAAAAAAAGGCTGAAGGGTGGGACTGTTCCTCTGTTTAATCCATCTTCCTCCCAAGGCATCTGCCTCCTTCCCTCAAGTGGAACACGACATTCAAACTAAATTGGGTTCTCCAGTTCCCTCCTCATGTCTGGCTGTCAGTGGGGACAGGGAGAGCCCAACACCTCATTTCTGGTGCAGGCAGCAGGAGGGAGGGAGGTTTATCCATGCAAGCTTATTGTGCTTTGGAAAATTCATGCACAAATATGTTTAAAATCAGGTCCCTTGATTGGCAGGTTTGGAAAATTGCTTTAATTGAGGGGTTTTTTTGGACTTTAGGCTATACAAGACTTTTGTAAAATACAGGATTGCCCAAACCAAACCAATACTAGGCTTTTAATTTCAGTACTTTTTGCACGTGAAGGGTGTACACAAAACTAGTTTTATTATCATTGAATTCACCTGTGGCTAGAATCACTAGACCCTTGCAAAGGGGCAGGTACTCTTTCCTGCTGAAATACTGATTTTTTTGCCATCTTCTCTCATTAGAGTATTTCCCTGGCAAAAGTGATGGTTGAAGCAGCAAAACTAGAACTGGTAAGGTTTTTTTTAATCTTTCAGAAGCTACATGTATTAATTGATTACAGATTTACCCACCTCATACTGTAGTTCTTAATGATCTCAAGGGGAAATTTACTCTGGTAAGGCAGAAACTGTGCATATTGTTCAGGGGAAATGGTGGAGGAATGATGTCTGAGCTACAAAGGCAGTTGGACATAGTGGTATCAGTGGGTATTAAGTAGCTGCATCCCTATGGATTTTGCCTGCTTCACCTGTTGGAATGTTTATTCACTCAGTTGTGTTGGTCTCACAATGTTCCTGGCTGCTGCTGAACTCTCAGAGAGCTCTGGGGCCCAGATTTTATTCAACAAGCTGCCTTGTAGACTGCAGTGGGGACCTTCCCTTGTAAAACACAGTGCCCATTTCCTCCGTGCTTGTGTCATCTGCAGGTGTGGTTGTTGGGAAACATCTGTAAAGCTGCTTGGGAAGTTCACACGTGGCTTTACGGGGTGAGCTGGGCCCTGTTTGAGCCCCATAAAACCTGTCGTCGTTTCTTCAGGCTACTGCCTGCTTGCTCACAAAGCACAAGTTGTTCAGTGCTGGGCCTTCAAGCTGTGATCAAAAATCACAGCTAGCTGAGAGCATTTACTGTGTTTTCAGGTGAGCCTGCCCATGTTGGTAAGCCACTTGCTTTTGGTTCAGGAATACAAGCTCCCCTTAGCCAGGCTGTTCTCTGGTCCGAATACCCACCTCTGGGAGGTGGAAGGTGTCCAATATCACATTGGGGCACAGAGGAAAGACAGCTGAGCTCATTTAGCCCTTCATTTGGAGATTCCTCTGTAGCTGCCTGCAATGTGCAGTAGAGAGTCCTTCCAACTCAGCACCTGGGTTAATCAATCAGTGCTAATAACCTCCCAGGGTGTGATCATTGTAGATATGTTTGTTTTCCAGCAACGTATGAAAACTGTTCCACGGTCACTGATTCCACTTCGTTTTCTCTCACCCTAGAAGGCCTTGGAGGACAAACTCTCAAAGGAGCTTGACAGCGTGGCTTTTGAGTTGATGTAGCCCAGCAGACTCCAGTTCACCTCAAGTGGCCTATGTGGAAGATGATTTTCCCTCCATTGCCTACTGATTTACGCTAGTATTACACTTTGGAATTCTTACTGTACTTCTGCAGCTTCCTGCCTTGTTCTTCTCTCTGTTGGCTGGTACACTCGGGATCTTCTAGCAAGTACACTCATTTTTAGGGGCTCATGTAGCCTTGTGTTTGTAAACATAAAATAACCTGCAAGTGTACTGTTGTCTTTGTTATTTTTCCCTGTGTGATACACACCTGTAACTGGCCTCCAGACGGCACCTTCCCCATGTGTCCCTGCTGTCAGGATTTGGGTGACCAAAATCTACCGCTTAGAATTGAACTGATCAGGGAGTCTGGTTTTCTTCACTTTCCATATTCAGTCTCTGGGTTACGCTTTTTTGTAGAGTCCTCTCTTTGATGGTCTGTCTGAGGACGGGCTCTACATCTACTAGATCGTTGGCTTCCGCTTCCTTCTTTTGTTTTCTCCTGCCATTCCAGGGTTGGGGACATACAGGTTTTTTTCTGAGGTACTCACAGTATGTCTGATGTTTGCCGAGTTTGTGCAGATGAGTTGTAGGCTCATACCTGGAGTGCCTCTTAGTTTAAGCATTTTCTTTAAACAGAAGCAAACAGTTAAATTTCTCCTTAATGTCTTCAGCAGGGATTTGGTGTGCTAATCAAAGTGAACAAAGCAATTAAGAAATCATTCTGGCCACTTCCTACTTGGTCTCCTCAATAATGGTGAATTTCTCCACAGAAAGGGTTGTTCAGCCCTGCAGAAGGGCTGAGACCTAGCAGCATCAACCTCTTCATTTTCTATAGTTTTATTGTCATTTGAGAAAATGGAAGCCCATGGCACTGAACTGTAAGGTTTGCCCATTTTCAGGGCTTTGAGAGGTACCAGTCTACTGTTGACAACTTGCTGTTTCTCTTTCCATTATAAATAGGGCTAAGCAAATGAAAGCAGATAAATAACTCTATGGATACTGCAGGCATAGCTTTAAAAGAAACAACAAAAGAAGATCCTTATAGTAAGACATTTCTAGGCCTGAAAGTGCATTCATATTTTTGCAGAACCACTGCGGGATGTGACGATTTTGCAGATAGGTAGAATTTTTCCAATTCTACCTCAAATGTCATCTTACAAAAGGGTCTCCTGAGCCCCCCTCTTATTTCCGTGCTGCCACCACACCAGCCTTCAACACTTTTAGAAGTGTTTTGTACATTTCAGCTTTTGGAAGCTGTTTGATACTAAAGCCAAAAATCTGAAAATCTCCTGTGGATGGGGAAAAAGCAAAATCTAGAAACAGTGGCCTGAGGACATCGGGCAGGGACCTGTTGGCACTGGGTGATGTCCAGACAAATAGTGGTGCTCTCAGTAACAAGCTGTAGCTCCATCTGTTTGCAATTAAGAGTTGCAGAAGATTGTGGCCATGATTTAGCACGGTGTGCACGTCCCCAGGAGCTGTTACTTCATTGCAGAAATCGATTTCACTGGATCTGCAGGAAGGGACATTCTGTTGCTCCATGTCCTCCCTCAAGGCAACAGCATCGTGAGCTCTGTCTGATCATGCTTAGGGCATAGCTCTCATTTCTAAAAAGCTGCAAGCTCAAAATTACACTGGTGTCAATAAAATACAAGTGTGACTTCGTCACCTCCTTTCTTTTGCCATGATGGGGAGGAATTGAAGGATGCTCAGAGAGCTGCTGCCTGTGGGAATCTCCAGCCTCATCTTCCATACACTGGAGGGAGTTGCTGTTTAGTTTCAGGTTTTTAAATTGAGCTGTTAGGAAAGGGTTAGTTGCCTTAGGTTTGTGGCTGTTCATCTTTGGTTCCTTCTGGGCTAGAAAACAAGGGTAAAAGCAAGTGGAAAATTCATGGGCTAAACTGGCTGAAGGGAAATTACCTCAGAGGTAACTGGTGTGAAATCTGGTGCAGTAGTGCAGGGATGGCTACAGGTACAGCTCATGCTTACAAACAAAAACCACCCTAAAGCCATTGGAGTGGTCTTTGAACATGGAAAGAACAAGAGCATAATCTGATTTTCTTGTTGTGGAAGGGGAAAGAAGTCTTGGAAGACATCGGAACATGGCTGGGTAGACACCAGAAACAAGAAAGCCAGTGCAAGGCACTGGAGGTCATGGCCTGACAATTAAGGAATCTTAATCGCTGGAGGCTTTTAAGAGCAGATTAGAAATGCTTTGCTTAAGTGTTTAAGATGTAAGGGAGTGTTGATCACACTCTGGGATACAAAGATGCATTAAATGAGGGCTTGAGGGTGCTACCAGCCCTGCTTTTTAATGAGAGCCTCAAGACTTCCTCGGCTAACATCAGATGAAGGCTTTTTATATCACACGTGTAACCATGACTCCAGGTTTGGGAGGATTTCCCGGGACTGTGGTGCTTCCTTAGCACAATTGTGAAGCCTGAGGGGGTGTGTTTGTTCTCCCCCCCTGTGCCCACAGAGCAGCTGCACCGCTCCCCGGCTGCTGCTGTTTCACAGCACGTGAAGAGCTTGAGCACAGAGAGCAGCAGGGCCAGACTGGCTGGAGAGCTGCCCAAAGACAGCCACGTGTTGCTTCCCTAGCACTGGAAACTCCAGGAGGAAAGAAATCCCCAGCAGCTGCATTTGAGCCGTGTGTCACAGCTGAGCGTACGTCTGTGGAGAATTGTCACGTCCGACAGTCCAGCTTCTGATGGAAACGGGAAAAGTCAAGTAAATGAGATTTATGGAGCGTGTCGGGAAGGTCTCTGAGCAATTTGGTTTGGCATGGGCAGGGTGCCTTGCAGGGCAAGCAGAAATCCTTCCTCGCTGTTGGTGTTTTGGATTGGACCAGCTTTTCCAGCGTGGGGGTGGGACGCCAGCACAGGGACACCTCAGAGAGGCCCTGCCGAGACAGGAGCACGCCAGCCTGAGCGCTTGGCTGAGAAAGCATTTGATTCTGGGCTCCCCCCTCTGCCCGGGCAGCTGTTGAGTGTTTCCATGGAGGTCACAGCGGGTGTCTGCCAGCTGGACCCTTGGCTGTTGGATGTTATGGAATAATCGCCCAAGTGAGAGAGACAGGAACGCCTGGAGAGGCCTCTGCTGCTCCAGCCTCCCTTCAAATTACAGCAGCTGCTCCTCTCCGAGCTCCCAGATGGAGTTCTGGAGACACCTGTCTGCTAACACCTGCAAGCTGACAGCCGGTGTGGGGCCCGAGCCCGCTGCAGAGCCCTCAGTTTCCCCAACAACGTGCAGAAGATGTTTGCATTTTATTGCCATGCAACTCGAATTCCTCCTCATGGAAAATGTGAGGATCCAAATTCCACCGGAAAAAAAGAAGAAAGGGAGGAATTAAAATGATTCATTGGATATGAGGTGGTCAGCTCCAAGAAAAAAACTCATGTGCATTTTGCCACAAACTGTTCTTATCGGGCCGATATGCAAAATAATAACTGCTTTCAAAAAAAAAAAGAATATATTAAAATTCATCAGCAAACTAGCGAAGTAATGGAGATTTATTTAAAAGGAAACATTTTGGTACTAAAACTAGAATAATAAAAATAAAAATGCTAGAGGAATGCAAAAGACACCATGCAAATTTAAGGCTTCTGAGCTGAAATGTGTATCTATTTACCGCAAATGCATTGAAACAAAAGAGGTGGATGGAACCACTTTTGCTGTATCTTTTGGTTAGTACTATAAAAACATCCTCTTTGTTGCAAACATTTCATTGTGGCTGCTTTTCAGGCTTCCTTTGACTGAAGGTGTTCACTTTTTTTTTTTTCCATTTATATCAATCCTTTAGTGGATATATTGTATTAATATGGGACTTTAAGTGTAATTTTAAAAAATATTAAATGTTTCAAGATTTATTTTAGAAGTGATTTGGTTGCATTTTGTACTGCCTCCAGTAAAACTCTCCAAATATCTTGATACTCAATGCTGTTTTGGGTACTAACAAGCAAAAAAAAATTGATGTGTCAAATGCTAAGTGTACTTAGGATTTCTTTAAATTACATTTAGTATTTAATGGGGAAGGCTGGGAAAGGCTGGGAAAGGTTTTGTATTTCTAAGATGTTCTTTGGCTTTTTAAATTACAAGGTCTACAGTGAAACAATAATCCTGGTCGGTGTGACCTTACAGGAAATCCTTTACTTTGTATCCGAGAACACAGTCGCTGTTGGTAATTCAAGGAGCTTTAGAAATATTTCTAATTTTCTCACTTAAAAAAACTTCAGTACTGGGCTGGAAGTATTTCTGCTTCTCCAATTCAGAAATATTTCTCCTAAAAAAAACCAAAACAACAAACAACAAACAACCCACAAGTGAGTAAGCAGAGGCTTTACCAATGAGAATGTGTTTAAAGTAAGTCTCGTGGCTCCTTCTCTCTTCACCAGGTACCACCTGTGTGGGAGGACACACTCCATCTGCCTTGAAGTCCTTCAGCACTGAACTGTGTAAGCTCCAGTAAAAAAATATCCAACAACTCCAAAACTACAAACTAATCTAATAAATGCTTCCTCTAGCCCCTTGATAAATATGCCTCTAATGCTAATTAAGCAGCTGTGCTGATTAATTAGATGATGTTGGCTGATAAAACACAGCAGCAAGGAAAGGTTTTACTTCTTTTCCTTCCCCAGGAGATTTGGGCTGTAGCTCGGGGACGAGTGAACCCCTCAGTGTCCCAGACACTTTTTCCATGGTCCCAGTTTTGCAGAGGAGCCTGGGTGACCTCATGAAGGAGCAGGGAGGTGGCTTGGCCAGGTTTCAGCAGCGCATTTGTGATTTCAGATGCTTGGCAGCCCACACCCCAGCTTGGGAAATGGGTGTTGCTTACATGTTACTCAGAAGGTGAAGTTTCTATATATTCCTTCGCAGATGGTTAGCAATGTCCCTATGGATGCTGTCATCAGATGCATGGAGATGAAGCGTCGTTGTCCAGTCTGGAGCTGGAGGGAAACTTATGCCTTGGTGCTGGGGGAGAGATGGGAGCAGGGACGGAGGAGCTCCGCTCCCTCTGCCAAGAGTGAGGTGAGGGAAGCCAGCCTGGAAGCCCTTGTGAGCCAAAGTGCTCTCACAACCAGCTTTTGGTTGGCAGGGGAGTGTAGCTTGGGGTTGTGCTCCAGTGCTGAGTGAATTTCCTCCCATTGTCCTTGGGGAAGTGCAAATGCCACAGAGGGAGGTCATGGTGACCATCCCCTGGAAGTTCAGGCTGGGGCTGTGCCTCTGGGCCT